GTATAAGTTCAAAGTAATACCTTACGATTCAACATAAACAGAAATTGCTGGAGAAACTCAACATCTGGCAACATCTGTGGAGAGGGAAATAGAGTCAACGTTTCAGGTCCAGTGACCCTTCTTCAGATTGGGAAGCAGCAACTAGTTCTGAAGAAGGATCATTGGACTCAAAACGTTAACTCTGCTTTCTGCTCACAGATGCTGCCAGAACTACTGAGTTTCTCCAGTGAGTTCTGTTTATGTTTCAGATTTCCAGCATTTACAATCCAACGTTTATCTTATGATTCAATCCTGTTTAAAATATTTCCCTGCCTTGGCCATAGTAAATGAAAGGTGCACCTTGGGAGGAGTTTTATAGATCAGCAGATGCAGGAGAAAAATTTCTGTTGCACATACTAAGCGTTCTTGTTATCCCATGTTGTGATTTCATAGCCAATCATTTCCTTTTTATTTAAAGATGGAAAAGGGAAGTTGGACTAATTTTGCTGAAATTCACCATTGTCACCTGATGGGTCTCATGGTTAACTGCATTGCCAAGTAACAGACTATAGTGTCAGTCACTGTAGTGGGTGGCTGTGACAATGCCTCAATTGGCATCCACAGATCTGGGTCAGGCTAGGGTATGGCTTTGTTTGTGATGTTCCAGTCCAAAGACACTCAGCAACAATTTGGACTCAATAGCTGTGACTTGGACAGACCACGTAATGAATGAGACCTATTGATCATAATCACAGCAGGAATCTTCATTCCCTGGGAAAGGATGAGAGGTAACTGGGGAAGTGGGAATGATCTTGGAGGAGGGAAAGGATTTGTCAAACAATTTTCAATGGTTCCTGCTCCTTTAATACATCCAGGAATGTTGTACGTACTCATTTTTTCTTTATTAATCTCCGTTAGCAATCACAAGCACAACTGAAGCTCTTTATAACATATTGCGATAACCCACAGCCTCAGCGACAGGACATGTCACTTACAGCAGTTCCTGTGAGGGCACAGAGCAAATAAAATCTCACTAAAGTGAACAAATCATCATAACCCTGGGTACTGCATCATTATGCTGTGATATTGGACACAGCTTCCCTCACTAACCCATAGTCCTACATGAAACTCAGATTTACAACAGCATACAAGATAGGAGGAAGGGCAGACCATTCAGGCCCGCAAGCCTGCTCCACCATTCAATAACTCTATAACTCATCTTTGACCTCAACTTCCAGCCCATCTGCATAGCCTTTAGCATGCAAAAATTTACCAATCTCAGCCTTCAAAATATTCAGAGATGGAATATTCACAGCTCTTTGGGATAGAGAATTCCAAAGATTCATAAACCTCTTCATTTCAGTCCTAAATGATCTGACCCCTTGTCCTCGGAATGTGACCTTCAGTTCTACATTGTCCAGCAGGGGGCAAACTGCCTCTCGGCATCCACCCTGCCAAGCTCCTAAAGAATTTTGTCGGTTTCAGGTAAATCACTTCCCACTCATCTGGAGAGCAAAAACTCATTTTGCTCATTCTCTCTCTAAAAGGCTAACTGTCGTGCCAAGAATCAATATTTACAATTTCCCCTTATTGTGCCTTTACGTTTTTGGAAATCTCCTGTTCTTGGCTTAAATACTCCTTAAATATCTAATCATGTATGTTTTACCACCTCCCCACAAACAGAAATGAATGTAGAAGTCATGAGAAGAATCTTTCCTCTTTCATTTGATTTCATCAGAATCCCATCTACTGGACCTTTTGCCATAAAGGCAGAGTTTTATTCATTCTCAGTATGTGGGCATCGTGGATGTTTCTATTTTGCGAGGCTGGTACAGGGTACAGTTAAAAGTCATTTACATTGATGTGATCTGGAGTTACATATCAGCCCAAAGTGGGTAAAAGCAGCAAGTGTTCTACCCTAAAGGGCCAAATGAAACAGTTAGATTTTTTGTTACTGACAATCAAGTACCCTCATGGTCCCCTTTATCAACAAAAGCTTTTATTTCTAGATCTACCTGTCATGAATCAGCTTGTTTTTTTCTAAACCAAATTCAAGGTGCTCTATAAATATAAGTTGGTGATGTTGAAATGACTGGGTGCAATGTTACCAGACCAAACTTGAGAGGCTGGACACTGAGCTGGTTAACATGGGAGGAAGTACAATGCCAATCTAATCCTGGCACCACTCACCAAAAACACGTACACAGAAACTAGTATCTATCTAGTTCACTCTCCTGATAGTCACATGATAAGATAATAGGGTTGTTGATTACATTCAATCTGCATCAATGAGTCCATAACAGACATGAGATGAGATTCCCCACAAACCCAATGTCAAATCCAGAGGTGGAGAGTTTCAGGAACAACAGATCAAAAATGATCTGTTCACCCCAAGCCATGTTACACTCGCCACGTTATGTCTCAAATAATTAGCACACTGGATCTTAACAAGATTACTGGACAGCAATTTGATTAAAAGGTAACTTTTTTAAAGTAGACCTCTTCCCCCAGAGCTAAAAGGTGAAGACCAATTGTAGGGCCCCAGCTTGATGGAGAATACTTGATTCAACACTAGTCTGGGGTCTGACACAGTGACTCTCTGATTTACATGGCTGATGAGCACAGTTGATGGTGTATTGATCTACCAGGTCTCTGGCATCTGGCCACTGGGAAGTAGGGGAGACTGAGTGAAGAAGTGCAAAAAGGAAAAACCAACACACCCTTAAACTCTCCCTCAGTGCCCCCACCCCAAAGAAAACCGATACACACTGACAGGATGCTACTGTTAGAAAAATCCTTGAGTCAAGCAACAGAGAGACCTGCAGGGAGCAAAGAGTTATTAAATACTGTCACTTCAGACACCAACACTTTTCTCTGTAAAATGAACTTTTTGAAAGATCTGCTGGTGATCACTCCGCCAGAATCTTTCTAACAGGAGGCCAGATACTTACAGACATTTGATGTCTTTCAACCCTGGAGAGCAAACCAACGTGCTTACCATTTTCTCAGTTATAGTGGGGGGTTTATTTTCCTGGGGGTCGACTGTTCATGACTCGTTTCCCCCGCTGCTGTTGTATGCATGCCCCAGGGAAAGCTAGGAGGTTGTACAGTTATCTCCCTTGGTATAATTCTAAACTATACAACCTACTACCTCAGCCTGAATGCACACAGTAATTGGCTCATCGACTCCTGCAGCAGAGGTACGAAGAGAAATCTTGTTGGGGGTGGGGACGAATCAAGGGTGGGGTGGGACGGTGAATGGGCGGCTGTAGGTGAGATGAGGGTAGGGATGAGTACAGCACTGATGACATTAAAGGATGCAAGAGGAAGGGTGAGAGAGGGAACACAAGAGGGATGGAAAGTGCAGTATCAGTCCAAAGTTTGGAGTTTTCTCTACATGACTATCTTTCTACAGGGGTAGCTGGATGATGCAAACACACCTTGAGGAGGAGAAAAATGTAGAAATCCATAAACATGGCCTTAGTGTATTCAGTTTTATAAATCCAGACAACTGCACACGCAATGGCAGACACATGCACACAAACCAACACACACACATACTTGTTAGTACGCAATAACAGATAGTTTTTTAGTTTTAATTTTAAGAGAAAAGATCTTTGCAACACACCTCTCTATGCCATTGATGGGAATGCAGGACCACCCAAATAACAGCTTGCTTCAAACCCCAGGACCAATGATTCACTGATCTCTTCTTCCCAATAACAATCTCTACTCACTTTCTATCCTTCCCTCCACACCAAGAAGGGATCCTTACAACTATGCTGTCTTCAGTGAGACTGTGCTGTTTACTGGACTCTCAAGACTATGATACAGGGAAGCCGTGAACCTCAGAGACATCATACTGTCAGGTCGGCTTGTTGTAGCAGTCTAGGCCTGATCCCACATCTCCCCTAAAACACATGTCCCCTCCTTCCTTCATGGCTAGTCCCCAGCAGGAATTCAAAAAGATTTCATCACAAAGGCCTCAGATCGGCTTTTGGGTCACTACGTCCAGAGGGGAGTAAATGACTGGTTAAACAGTCAATTTTTGTTAGGGAGTTGCTTGCTGGAAGCTCAGCTGCTTCACTGACTCATGGGTTGGGACTTTTACACTGCCAGCCCCACCCTGTTGTAAAAGAAGAAACTCAGGACTTAAAATAAAAACCGAAAGAACTGCGGATGTTGGAAATCAGAAACAAAAACAGAAATTGCTGGCAAAGCTCAGCAGGTCTGGCAGCATCTGTGAAGAGAAATCAGAGTTAACGTTTCGGGCCCGGTGACCCTTCCTCAGAACTGGATTGAAAGTTGGCCCCTCTCAGCTTCAGTAACTGAGGAGGTTCCTGTGCCAGGTGGGACGAGTGGCCTGTTCCTGCACTGTACAGTTTGATATAATTATCACATGGTTGTTGCTCCAACTTGGGTCCTCAGCACATACAGTACGCAAGGAAGCCCTTCCACAACTCTCCTCTCCCCAGCTCCTGGGCTAAGCCTCACAACGGGAATGATCTGAGGCTGAGAATCACCACAAGACATCTTTATATCCCCGTGTTGATCATTTATTGCCGAGGAGAAATTTTGATGTTTCTTTACCACGTAGACACAGACCTATAGACACGAGCTTGTGGGATATGCAAAACACAAGTTCGGATCTACGGGTTAGTGGCAGCTGGCTTTGCAGTTTCAATATCTGTACACATCTAGCTTCTCCCTCGTTTCTTTTCATCTCCTTTCCCTTTTTGCTAATGCCTTCCATCCCACTCTCTTCTTCCCTCCTTTATTCCCCTTCTCTCACTTCCCTTTCTCTCTACACGTACAGGTTCACAACCGTTGTGCAAATTGTGAGCTTAGTCCAAAGCTCCCTGAAGTAGAGATCGCCTTTCACTTTGGTTGCACTTTTAAATGAATTTGCAAAAAAGTCATTGCATCTTCCCAACTCAAAATCTGACCAAAGATGGGGACAAATTAAAAGCTTTTCCAAAACAATTATAAAAGTAATATTAAAACCCAAAACACCAACACACTGTGATCTAGTTGCTGTATGTGCACATGTAGGGCCATCTGTTAGCTCTCAGTTTCAACTTCTGGCATAGGATGTTGTTGGCTCATCAGGCTGTGTTCTGTCTCACTAGGCCGAGTTCTCAGATCCTAAAATAGAAGGGAGAAAAATTAAGAAATGAAAAGGAGATTTTTAAAGATTGCAAATGAAATACTTCACTGCTAATAATTCCAAAACGACTAACTCAGGACATTTAAACCAGATAACGCTTTGTAATTTATTAAACGTTACAAAGAGTGTTCATCTCGTCTTGTCCATCAAATATTGGACGTTTGTCCGTACATACATTTAAACGCAATTAAAGTTTCTTGATTCAAATCACTGTGAAAATGAGATATAGCGGCAGAATTAAGTGAAAAGTATGATCTCTCAATGAAAAAAGCACAACTACTATCAGAAGAATTACTTGACTCAGATTCTGGAAGATTTGCTTTGTACCACAGCGGACTCCTTGGCTAGCTACCCAGGCGCCTTCTGAACGCCAAGCTTGGATACACAGCCTTTGTGTCTTGATTTCGCTCTCTCACTTTCATTCTCGCCTCTCTCCTAAACCTTTCCCTCCTGAAAAAAAGCAACAATGCCTTTGGACCAACTTTAAGTGCGGCTTACAGTCCAAGTCTTCCTCACACACGTTGCAGAATTCCAGAAAGAAACGGCAGCGTGCAGCCGGATTGAGGCAGTCACCCACCCTACTCCGCCCCCTTGCAAAAGGCAAGCACACGAATTCTGCTAAAAGCTGAGGCGCAGGCCTCACCTTGCTGCTCACCGTCTCGCCATCAGAGCCCAGAGAATGAAGAAAGGGAACATGATAAAGCTGACGCACTTACACAAAATCCACACACAGCACAACAGGTTTGCTTGCGGGGAGAGAGGGAGAGCGGTCCAAATGGAGCTGCATCCAAGCTCCCCCTCCTCCCTGCCCCTTCCCCACACACCAGACACCACCCTCCTTTCCCTATCTGCTCTCCTCCTTCCACCCAACCTCCCAGCTCATTTTAAGATGCTTCGCTGCTTGTGACAATAGGGCCTACCTCGACATTGCGCAGTACCACCAACGTTGAGAACAGCGCTGCCAACACAAATGCTCCGAGCAGGTTTCGGGTAATTCCATAATTCCGGAAAAGCACACAGACAACACAGGCACAAGCAAAAGGGGGAGTCTGCCTGCTTCCTGTCGTCCAACTAAAGGATCGCCAAATAGAATTTTATCCTTTGCGAATGGAATTGGTTTCTCTCGCAATTAAATCTGCTGACTGCACAAGCCAGCTGTTTCCCCTTGCTAGCAAAAAAAAATGGCGATTACTATTCTTTTGTTTCATCCGGGTGGGATTAGCAGGGAAATATTTGCGTTGATTTTCATCAACGAAAACAAACAACGAAAAAATGATGGGACAAAGCTTTGCAGCAGTTTTCAGATGGTGCATTTTTGAATTATTTCAACCCCCCTCAACTTTGATCTAATGCTGTCCCAACTAAGCAAAGCTGGCATCATGCAGTGCCCGGGCACTGCAGATTCTTACTTAGTACAGCGACAGTACCATTTGGTTGATGGATAGCCATCAGCAGATAGGGGGAAGACAAAGATTCACAGGCTCACAAAGACTTAGGTGACACAGACACAGACACAGACAGACAAACACACACACACACACACACACACACATGACACACACAAACAAAAAATTCAGCCTTTCAATCGCGATCAAACATCTAATTCCTAGAGCCAGAAAACTTTGAAGGAGCCTTTTTTTAGTTTTCTTTTCTCTCTCTATGCGTTAAATGGCAATTAAGGACGAAAGGGGTGGAAGGAAAGAGAGAGGGAAGGAACAAGAATGAGAGAGAGAGAGAAAGAGCAAAGGGTTTAGAGTGGATCTTGGCACAATACACAAAGCCCGACAATGTGAATTTTAATATCAGATGGTACCCTGTGAATCTTGAATGCAAAGAAAAGACAAATCTGCTTTGAAATGCAGTTCTGGTGCCAAATAATTTTAACACTTTCGAGACGGAGGCACAGGTCAGGAAAACAACAGAAAGCGAAGGAGGATTGCAGACGGCTGTCTATGTAGATGTCTGCATCCTGGCAAAGACAAGCAATATGGAGTAACGTTGGCACTGGAGAGCATTAACAGTTGCCCGGCTTTGCACAATTACCCCTTTCTACTTTTCTATTCAAAGTGGATTGCTTCCCTCGAGGCTAATAACTTGAGAGCCACATTATGTCAAAATAACTATTTCCATTTGACAATACGTGGGGGGGGGGGGGGGGTAAAGGGGGGGGGGGGGAGAATGGCAGAAAGAAGGAGAATGTGGATGCCAAGAATAAGAAAAAGAACCAAAAAGCGACCATTGTGTCTGCGGTGGTGTTTTCTTTAACTCACCAGGAACGTCCGAAAATTCCCGATCATTGGGGTTTTTTTTAAAACTTTGTGGAGACGGGCGAGAAGCTGGGATATTTTAAGACGGATCTAGACTTCATTCACTGCTTTGTCCACATTGCAGTTGATGAGAATAGATAAAAGGAAGCGGCTTTTAATTTTCAAAAACAGCTTACAAAGTGTAAAACTGAGATTAGTGAATTTATGACTGGAGAAAATGATGATTTTTTAACTAACGTGAATAAAAGTACGGCCTTCCAGCCCCGCATTCCGCACCCCCCAATCCTGAACACACCTAAAAGCAAACCCCTAAAAGCCGTTTAGAGTGTCTAAACTGTTGTTCTGGTCTCTGCTTTAACTGAGCATCAAGAGGCAACATCTGTTTGTAAAATCGCCAACACTGAGCCTTTCAATTTTTTTTGGCATGCTTTTTAGAAGCGGAGAGCCATGACAGAGAGGAGAGAGTATTTACAAGCAGCCTGATTGCAGCACACCGCTTCTTACAATCCCAATTTTTCTCTCTCTCCCTCTGCTGATCGGGTTTGAAATGTTGCTTCTCCGTACGTGTGAATAGCTGGATTGGAGATGGTGTTCCAACATACCTTACCCAGGAAGGACAAGGCAACTTCTGAAGGAGCCTTTTCTCCCCCTCTCTCTTGCGAAGCCAATGACTAATTTTTGTGTGTGTGTGTGTGTGTGTGTGTATGTGTGTGTGTGTTTGTGTGAGAGAGAGCAGTGTGTGTGTGTGAAGTGTGTGCGTGTGCGTGCCGAGTGGGGGCTGGGGGGGGTTGCACAGGTTGGGGGTGGGGGTTCAGTCGAGGAGTGATTTCTTTTTCATAGTCTTTTCATCACCAATTCTGGGTGGGTTGTTGGGGCGGGCGGTGTTCAGAGGTTGGAAAATAGCGACAAAAGCTCACAGGCTTTGCCAACTCCGTGGCCGGAAAAGAAAAAGAAAAATGCAAGGAAGAGGAGAATGAGAGTAGACAAGACAGAAAGAGAAAGAGTGAGAAATAAGAAGGAGTGACGAAGAGAGAAATGAATGGAGAGGGGAAAGATGGGTAGTGAGAGAAAAAAAATGGAAAGTAGAGAGATTAGGAGAGAAAAGAGGGAAAGAACAGAGAGAGAGAGAGAAATGAAGGAAGTGGACATGATTGAGAGAAGACAAACAAGAGAAGGAAAAAGACAGAGGTGTGTGCAAGACAGAGAAAACGGGAGAGAAACGTTACAGAGCGAGCACGCAGTCATTTGGCTGCTGCTTATAACTGCAATACAGTGAAAGTCCATTATTTTAAAAATTGGAGGAACATAATTCTTCAGAAAGAAAAGAGGAATATTGCCGATAATAACATCAAATATTCTGGTCAAACAAATGTACACTTTTAATCTGTCCTCACAAAAACAAAAATCAAACGCATACAAAATAACCAGGCATGTTACTATGGAGACTTGTGTAAACTCTTGAGTATAGGCATGAATCTTGGCCTTTCCCCCATATCCCATCTTGCATTCTGCTCACGGATTACTGCGGCAGTCTTACACCAATCATGGACATTAATCTCGAGCTTCAAATGTGCTGACTGGGAATGAAGCAGCTAGGGATCATTTTTCAAACTGAAAACCTAATTTGCAGCATCACTCACTCACTCACACACACATACATACACCATCACATACAGACACAAAGAAAGGGAATCAAAAATCAGCGACTGCTTGGGAAAAGGAGGATTCACACTGCAGAACGCTGCTTTCTCATCCCCTCGAATCCCCCCCTCATCTCCCTGCCTTCCCCCCCTCTCTCTCAGTCGCTTGATCAACCATGTAATCACGCCACCCAGCACTCCATGTCTGGTGCCAGGCAATTGAGATGCCTGAAGAGCCACCAGCCATTGTACAGCAGTACAGGACCCATTAATGCCAGGGGACAATGAACTGTCTAGACCCTAGCGGCCTTGAAGATACCAAGGCATCTAACGGGGTAGCAGCCAAGTGAAACACCAGGCAATAGGAGTAACTCCTTAGTTGGTACATTCTTTGCAGACAGAAACATAACATTTTAGAACTAATCGCTCTGCTGCAGTCTTCCAGATCCCATTGTGCAATTCACGCAGTATAATTAACACAAGGCATTAACATATACAAATAGCCAATTAAACTTTGCCAAGATTATTTGTGATGAAGCACAGTATTAGAACGAGTGTCACTGTCTTCTATGGGTATATTTAAGGATGGAGTGTTGCCAACTACAGCCTCAGAAATACTGGTGCATTTACAGTCAAAGGAAACAAAAGAACATGACCTGTGTCTCTTTCAGAAATCTCTCCGAGGTGGCTGAATTTACAATTATTCAACTTTTTTTTTCGAAAGTCGTTTTGAGCCTGCCTACCCATCGCCACCACTCTATGTTAAATTGATTTACAGTGGTCCAAGAAGACAGCTCACCATCATCTTCTGAAGGGCAATGAGGGATGGACATCAAATGCCACCAACACCCACATTAATATGCAAAAAAAATGTCCCTGTACCCACACAAACACATAATTACATCTTAATTTTAAACCTTCAACCTGTGACAGTTGCCTGAAAGCTTACACTTCAGTATCTTGATGCAATGCCGATTGCCTGAAATGGGTTAAACATAAGAGAGAAAAAAAAGTTGTCTGGAGCCAATCTTTTGCCTTCTGTGATTTAACAGTGAACAGCGCAGGGCAGGCTGGCTGCGTAGCAACCTGAGATTGGCGGACAGCCAACTTATTTCACCAGCAATTGATCGTGGCTCGTAGCCATCATAACGAGGCCTCAAGAACCAGTACCATCATGCATCTGATATTCACAGTCTGGCGTCCTGCCAAAAATAAATCCTCTATTAAACAGAGAGAGAGGGAGAGGTGGAGAAATAGAGAGAGAAGACAGAAAGCTGCTAAATGCTGATTTAAAATAAAAGATAATACCTGGCCAAGCAGCATCGAGGTTGTCTGTGCTTTATATTTGTACAGTGTATATTTTTCAGTTGTCACGTTGATTCACATGACTTCAGTCTTTTCTGTGTGTGCCCTAGACTAAGCAGTGGACTGCGCGCTGCTATGCACTAGTTCCTAACCTTAGTTTAACTCTCCTCCCACTCTCTCTGACTGCAGTCCTTCCAAGGGCCAGAGGAAATGGGGTGCTGAGTGCAAAGACTGATCACCTACAGCGCGGAGTAAACTCTGAACTTTGTTCCCTTGTTCATTAAACGGATTTCTGAAGCTATAATTAGTACCTCAGTTATTTCTCTGATTGGAGCCTGACGCCAAGTGTTATTTAAGATCCAGCTTTGCCAACATGTCCCATCGAGGTGGTTTGGATTCAGGAGATCAATCTCCTGCCAAGTGATTAGATGTACAATGAACTCGCTCGGTGAAGATATAATTTTCCTGACCAGCTTTCTTCCCCAACAGGCTGTCGCTCCTGTGAGCAACCTTCCCCTTTTTAACATTTTATTTCTCCCTGTGCAGATCACATTTTAGCCAATTATATTGTTAAACAAACCACTTCCTTTCTAACAATGGTTTAAAGAGTTGCAGCTTCCACGGGTAAATAATTCGAGATTACACTAACATTATTTCTTCTTAAGTACAAAGAGAGTGCAGATTAATCATCCCATTGATTTACTACAACTACTTAGGAATGAAATTGGGACAAAATGTTCCCTCTCCCGGAAGCAACAGAGGAATTTATCAACCATTTCCGTGTAGACTGCCCGTTTAAATATCCACACGGATCAGAACTTACTTTTGTGTAATTCCCCTGATCAAGAACAGACTTGTAATTGTACATCAGTGTGAGTGTGAGTTTAGTGTGTGTAATTGCTCAGCGACAGTGTAAGCATGAGTACGAATTTGAGCCCAATGAGAGTGTGATCCTCATGCGAGTGTGGGCTCACTTGAGTGTGAGCTGGGTGTGAATGTGAGTTTATGAGAGTGAGAGGGTGTAAGTGTGGGCTCAGTTTGAGCTCATTGTGCCTGTGAGTTGGGTGCAAGTGTGAGCTGGTGTAAGTGTGTGCTACGTACGTGGGCTGAGTGTGAACTGGGTGTGTGTGTGAGTTCTCTTTTAGTTCCTTTTTTTCTGAGTCAGCAGTTTGTGAAGATTGGGCCTTGTGTTTCATTTTTCTCTCTCTATCTCTCCCAAAGTCTACAGATGCATGGAGCTCCAAAGACAGTCAAACTGAAGGACTATCAAAAGGTAAAAAATTGTGGCTGAGCCATTAAGCATTGGGAATGTAACTAACTCCAAATAAAACATCAAACAAGATTCTTGGTCTGATTGTGTCCAGTAACTCATCCAGAATCTCCAAGATACAACATTTCCCACCCAAAGGGGTGAAGGAAGAAGTGGCGTACCCTACCCATATCACCTCTGAACTTTCCTTCAAATCACATATCTTTGTGACAATGGCTAAACGTTCAGCATTGCTGGGTCAAATTTCTGGATCTTGCTATCTAACTGCACTGTGGAAGCATCTCTATCATAAAGATGGCAGTGGTCCAGGAAATTCGGTCACTGCTTCAGCTAAGTAGGGATTAGCAATAATTGTTATCCCGAGCAGCAACACTCAACTCGCAACCCTGTGAGAATCAATGGCTTCAGGAGAGAACGGGACAGGCAGCAAACAATTAAAATTAAGTATCCATTGATGCCTTGGGACAAAGTGACATTTACAATAACTGAAAATACAAGGGTTGTAGACAGAATTTCATGCATAGGTGGATAGCCAACGTCCATAAAGAGTCAAAACATTTCTCTCTATTAGCAAGAGAATTGGTTATATATTGTTTGAGGGGCGCCACTTCAGAAGCATTGGGTAAAGTAGAAGACAGCCTGCTAGTGGAGTTAGAAGGGAGATTGCATCTGTGCTGCACTTCATTCCAGGCATCTCGTGAACTAAGTTATGTTACCCGATCTGCAGTTTTGTGTGTGTATTGTGGTGTCGTACTGTACTCTAGGAACTACCACCTCAATGATTAAACATTAAACAGAGGTCCCACCTACTTTCTCAATCAGAAGTAAAAGATCTTTCAGCGCTACTGTTAGAGGTTAGGTGTCCAAGCCAATGTTAATCTCCCAGCTCACATCACTCAAACAGACTATCTGGTCATTATAACATTGCAGTTTGTGGAACTTGCTCTGCAGACATTGGCTGCTGAATTTCCAATAACCATTACGATACTTTTAATGTACAACATTGGCTTTGAGACACGTGAGGTCATTAAAGGTGCTACAGAAACACAAGTCTTCTACAAACAGATGCAGATTAAAGCAATGACTTAGTGCAAGTTAAATTGTATAATTTATGCATAAGAGGCTGTGATAGGAATTTCTTCATTATTAATACAATGTGCAAACATTCCATGGAATTATTTCTTTATGCATTGCAAAAACAGGAAGACTGACTTACCTTTATCGAGATTTGTATGGCACTGCACTCTATCAACACTTCGCCATGAATTTCAACTTAATGGTGGGAGTAGAATTTGAACCAACAACCTTCTGATTGTCTCACAATCATATGACAGCTGACACTGTGCAATAACAGTGCGGGGGAGAGTTATGAAGGGAGCCAGGGATATCCTTTAGTATTCCGAACACTCAAAGTCTCAAGATATCTTAATTTGTTTCTGATTCAAATACTGAATCTCAAAATTGATTGACTGGCCCTAGGAACTGTGCCACAAAAGGGAGGGATTTTTTGTAATGCAGCCCCAAGAATACTTGCAGGATAAGTACCCTCCTATGACATTACCAGCCAGCTGCTCTTTCAGATATTTCATAAGGTTTATTGCACTGAAGAACACTCCAACATTCTCTGAAAAGCCCATGATGGATTAAGGTTTGATCTTTCAGGGGCAATACATGCCTGAAGGGACTAAAGGATGAAAGGAGGAAGCAAAGAGAGCAATCAAGGTTTCTTCTAGCGCTCTCCTGTCTTAAAATCCTTGAAGACAGAACTTAGTCTTTGGTGCATCTATGGGTAAAATGAGGTCCGGTTCTGGGAAAACACATGTGTCTCAGATATTAGGCCATCCCAAAGTGTTTTACAACCAAATCTGTGTTTTTGAAATGTAGTCTTTGCTTTAGTGAAGGTGATGTAACATTCAATTTGCACACAGCAAGTTTCTGCAAAACCACTGTAATAATGACTAGCTAATCAGTTTCAGTAATGTTGATTGGGAGATAATGTGGCCAGCAGAATGAGGAGGACTCCTTTGACCTTCTTCAGAATACTGCCACGTGATTTTGTTACATTCATGAGAGGTCTTTGTTTAATGCCTCATTGAAAAGATGGCATTGCTACGAGAGCAAGATTCACTTGGGATTGTACATTTAGAATCAAAGTTCCAGAGTGGGACTTCAACACACAACCTGCTGAATCAGAAGTGCAAGTACTTCCTGTTCTGAGCCACAGGTGACAACTCAGCAAGGAACAATGTTCTGCATTCAAATGGCACCTGGAAGGATGTCCAGCCTGAATTGGGTTTGACAAAGTTACAGCTAACTCCTACCAGCCACTTAAGGCAGGCATAAAGTCCATTGCGTTCATAATATGAAAGGCCTATTACCTCTTTTTGGGCCTCTGAGCTGAACTGGGGGGGAACGCAGAGTAGGAGCAAAGAATCTCCTACTCCGAAGGATTGTTCAATAGCAGCTAAGGGCCTGTGGAAAGAAGCCCAGAGCACCCTCATCCCCTTGGTGAACTGCAGGTACAATGTCCAGGGGCAGGTCCACTTCCAGAAACACATCTGGTGAAAATCAAAAACATCTGTTTAGTGCACAGAATTGTAAACCCTTACAGCAGGGAATGTGGCCATTCTGCCTGCCATGCTAGCAGCAGCCCATTAACAAGCTGTCTGGTTTTGTCCATATCTCAGCTTTCCCCATTACCCTGAACAAGAGATTCCTCTCATGCTTGTATCCCACTTCCTGTGGGGTGGTCCCATGGAGTCTGATTCCACCATTCTTTCAGGAAACATGTTCCAGACCATAGTAAACCATTCCACCATAATACAGCTGTTCCAATATTAAATAACTGACAACTCCCCTCCTGCACAGTGCAGCATCATGTACCATGAAGAATCAGAGAAATGTGCTGCACAGCAGGTCATTTGGTCCATGACCCTGATCATAGAAAGAGCTATTCAATTCAACCTGATCTCCCTTCCCTTTCTCAGCAGCCTTCAAATTCTTTCCCTCTTGCATGATGATAGAGTTTAATGCGAGGGATAATGGATAACAGAAGGGGGGTGGGTACACTGGTGGTAAAGTGACAGCTTTCTCCTTGTTATCTCCCAAACTTCAGAATTGCAGCTTCAAGTTTCTTCAGTTCAAAGCGGTATACTGAATTGCTTCTATCAAATTAATCTGAAAGTTTAGCTGCAGCTCGCTTATTACGATTTTATATCCGTTTTAATATATTTATCAGGAAATTTAACTTAAGCTGTTGCTTCAGGGAGAGGCATACTGTGTTTCTTCAAAGTTATGTGTAAACAGAACGAGTTTCTCCTGGTCCAAATCTTTGGCAAATTCAATCTCAAGATCTGGACATTGCTGGCTAGTCAGTATCTATTGTGTATCCCTAACTGCCTTGCAGGAGGGGATGGTGAACCACTACAGCCTACATGATATAGATGCACTCAATGTGACAGCAGACAGTTCCATAATTTTCACTCAGTGAGAATGAGGGAATAATGATATGCTTCCAAGTCTGACGTTGGGTGGTTTGGAAGGGAGCTTGTCAGTGGTGAATTTTGCACATGCCTGCTCTCTTATCGCAGGTGGTAAGTGTCATGGGTTTGGAAGGTGCTGCCAAAGGAGCCTTGGTGAGTTGCTGCTGTGCATCTTGTAGAAATCAGGAAGTAATGCAGTCTCATTGCAGTTCTGTCAGCAAACCAGTGGAAAGGCTAGGGGCGTGAATTTGAGTAACTCTCGGCACAAATTGCTAGATCAGTGGAAAGTCTAAACATTAAGAGCCAGGAGCAGAATACAGTGTGTCCAAAATGATTTCTTCAAAAAACAGTGTCTTCCAACCCAAATTCTCTAAGTGGTTAAGCTAATGTTCTTTTCATTAATAAGTTGGGCTCCGCTTCTCCTACCCTGAACTCACCAAA